ATCCACGCTTTGGAATCCTGACCCCCGTCACCATTTTTCTTCACAGACTTTTCCATACTTAATTTTTTCCTTTAACAGACTTTTCCCGAATCATTTACAGACTCTTCCCCAAATTTTAACCTGCCACTTATCTACACATTTGGACCTCAATATGGACCTACATTTTCCCTTTCCTTGCATCTTCCCCTCGCTCCTCACATCGTCCACTACGTGGCCTCATCACAATCTCAACCCTTTTCCTTTTTTAACTTACCCTTTTCTTTTTATTTTTAACTTTAACTTTATATAGGAATATAGCCATACCTCGAGTGGAATTGCGTTGGAATCGGGCACGCGCCATGCCCGATTTCTGACTTTGGCTATCCTTCCTCACGTCCATGTCAGGAACCGCCTCTGCAAACACCCAATAGCCCAAGCGTCATTGGTCGAGTTTAAAATTTGTTTACTCAAGTCCAATGTAAGCTGACCAGGGCTTGTTTCGCACACATACCTTCACAGTCGCTGTGTCCGCTGACACGCGACTCTGAGCCACTGCTCAACTACTAGAGCCGCTGCTCACCCAGAGCCACTGCTCGACTTACACAATCCACGCTTGGATTGCGACTAACCTATTTTTAGATTCATCATGGCTGAGGGGTGCGATGAGACAACTCCTTTCCACAAGGCTCTCGTCTCAACACTCACTCCCTCAGCCAGGTATGTTTCCAACTCACTGTTGAAGGCTCTTGCGATAACACATTACTTCGTCAACTCAGTATTTTACAGTTGTGTTCTTCATCACCCACCTACCCACTTCCTTATACTACGTACTTTACTGAACAGATGTATTGCCATACCTCGAGTGGAATTGCGTCGGAATCGGGCGCGCGCCATGCCCGATTTCTGACTTTGGCTATCCTTCCTCACGTCCATGTCAGGAACCGCCTCTGCAAACACCCAATAGCCCAAGCGTCATTGGATTTGATCAACTTGTCTATGACGTTAACCTCGCGTTGTAATAAGACCGACAGCCATCCTTGCTGGATCCTTCTATTTGGAGAACAATGATGAAATGTTGCTCATTTGCCCTCTCTTTCGTTTTGTAGGCTGGCGATCCAAGGGCGAGCGCTGCTTTCTGTGAGCCGGAGAA